TGCAGGAAACTCTGAACTCGGGGAGAATGCTGCATAAATATGGGTCAATTGGAACAGAAGTGTACTTGTGACGTCATCACACGCTCGGCTTGTCCGCAGCTGCATTTCACCTCCTGTTAATAATCTCTAGATAATAATAAATCTGTACTTTTTTCATTTATTGGGGGAATACAAATGAACACAGATAAACACAAATTAAATGAAAGTTTTGCCAAATAAAACAAAAAACTCGCCATCAGAGCCAGCGGTCCTTCACACACGTCTATGCCGAGGGAGGGCTGCTACAGACGGGCTATGGTTAGCACTGGCTGCTAAATTGCGCATTAAATCTGTAAATGGGCCATCTAAGTATAATGTTCTCGCCTCAAATGATCTTAAAAGGTACTTTTATTGAACAATTGCAGCAGAAAAGAGAACTTTTCGCTTTATACTCTGAGCTCTGTGAGCGCTCCATTGAAAGCTGCTGCTGCCGCAGTGCATGATGGGACAGCTGTCAATCTCAAGAACAGACAAGTCTGCTCCGATGCATACTCTGTAAATAGGGAGGGGCGAGAACAACATCCGAAGACTTCTCCGTTCTTGGTCTCCTGTTCTTAGATGATGACGTTTCACGAATACACGAGCAAATGAGAACGCAAAAGTACACATTTTGAAAAACGACCAATATTTCATTTAGCCACTTAAATTCCCTTTTTAACTATAAAGAAGCAAAGAAAACTACTTGTATAGTTTACAATGTCCCCAAAAGTATTACTAAATCTAGAATGTTTTGATTTTATTAGGGTCAAAAATAAATATATCCATAATATCAGATGCAATTTCACTGTATATCAATATGAATGCAATTTTTTAATTACTGTGTAATATGACAAAATATATGTTCTCAAGCAAAACATGGGCTGATTCTGGCCCAACCTAAAACTTCTGTTTCTTGGCTGTAGGCTGAAAATGAATTCCAACACATACTTCTTCATATATTGGTTAGAATTATAGCCTTTTACACTTTTACAAGGATCAATCCAACCAAAGGAAGCCTCATAGCAAGTACATCTGTGTTGTACTTGCTAGCTTCAGGCAGCACAGAGCAGCCAAATATGCAAGGCAATACGATGGAGAGTACACAGTGTGCTTCTCATTGTCCAACCCCTGGAATGTGCTGACGACGCCGGGTTCATGCTGGTTCAGTCCCACTGTTGCTGCTGCTACCGCTCGCCTCAGGCACAGTCAGACTCTCATGCTGGCCCAACTATTTTTTTTTGCACATTACACGTATTTTAAGTTTGTCAGTTATGCAAAGTTTCTGGCAGTGCTCGTGTACATCTCAAACGATTGTTTGCACCCTACCATGCATTTCCCACAACTTTTCCCTAAAGCCCAGTTATCGAGAGGAATAGCGGAAGTCAAGTCAGCCCAGTCAAGTTTGAGAAAAGAAAAAAAAAGGAGAGGGAGCAATTTGAGAATGAAAAACAGCCTGTCTGTGCCTGGCAAACAGCCAAGAGCTACGAATGTCAAGGAGGAAACCCACTGAAGCTGAAACCGGGAAAAAAAAGAAAACAATTACGAAACTATTTTTACCGTGTCTGTTTGGAACAGGATACAAGGAAACTGGGATCTCCTCATCGAGGTAGAAAAATATCATGAAAAGTAGGGCAATTTTTGTAATTTTGCCAAGAGTCAAATTCCATAGTAGTTTTTTGTTGTTTTTAACACCAAAATTTCAGTTTTATTTGGATTTTTCTCTGCGCTGACCACAAGCAACCAATATGTGCTACACATAGGACACAATCTGTTCATAGGATATATTGGTTTTAGATAAGGTCTAATTACAAAAGAAATTTAACAGATTTAACAGAACTGCGTGTTGGTTTAAACATCAGTCCTTGAACACAAAAACTCTATTTATTGCATCAGTTTCAATGGTATCTAATAAAATGCTTATACTACCGAACATTTATTAGAATAATAATAATAATAATACGCACTAAATGAAAGTGTTACTGGTCAACAAGCAAGTTAATTTTTTCATGGCCTTAAAGGATCAATAAGTAAGAAATTTACTGTAGAATTAATCAAAATTATTTCTATTTATCACCCACAATGAAAGTTTAATTCCTTTACAACCAGAACTTTCCATCAACAGCATTTTAGTCAAGTTCTTTCATCTTTAATACCTAGAAGTACAGAGCAGAACTACTTCTCATATTTCCTGATTTTCCAACTTGCATGACACCGTCCAATAGGGATGGTGTTGTTCCGATTAGAGAAACCAGCTGATACCAAACAAATGTGTTTATGTGTTCACCTTTTCTTTAAGAGAATTCAACATGGATGTTTTGAGAGTTAAAAAAAATGGATTTTTGTTAAACTGGGACTTGTATATCAATTATTGTGTCCAATCCATGTGCAAGAAGAGAAAGCAGCATCAGCTTTAAAAATCATCCCCACCAAAACATGGCAGCGAAAAATCAGGGATCAGATAGACTAATGTCAAAATATTCAGCATCCGCATGAGCAATTAAAAAAACCGCATCCTTCATACTCTGGTTCCATTTTTGTTTTTAAGCAAGAGGTGTCATTTCTACTTCCCGTTCCTTTAAATGTTCTCTTGACCAGAGCCTGCCATTGCAGACTAAATGTGTCAAAGGGTGTGTTTGATTTTAAAGACTGCATCCTCCAAAGACCCGGTCTACCTGGACTGGATCCTTTGAGGTCCGGAAGAGTTTTGGCCGCAAATTCCAACAGGTCTTACCTTACGCTCTGTTGCATAGCAACTGTGACAGTCGACACACAAAGCAGGAAAAGAATGAATAGCTAAAAACTTCTCACAACGGTTTCTGTTTAAATTATAGGTAAATTATAGGTAAACTCATTTGGACAGGGACAGGTAAAAATCTTTCGATAAACCAAACATTAACTGCTACATATCTGACTCAGTTACCGTTTAAAACAACTATTTTCATTAATTTCAGACTAAACTATTCACATACTTGTGTTAGAAGAAACTGCACTTCCAATTTTCAACACTGTTTGGCGCCAAGTACCTTTGTCCTCTGATCACGGAGGAGACGGCTTGCTTGAACTCGCAATGAATCATGGGATATCCAAGCTACGTAAGATACAGCAGACCCGTCCTTCAAAACGGGCAAAAAGAAGAATGCATTTGTCATCTTTAAATCCAACCAGGCCTCGATGCCGCACTATGACGTAATCGGCCTACAAATCTGGCCTTCGGAGGATGCAGCCCCTGAATTTGAATTCAGCCTTGTCGCTACCCGATCCGTACCGGTAGCACGATCCGTACCATCAGCTCATTTGCGCCTGCGCGAACAGAATAACTTCCGGGTCGCCAAAAAATAATGTAATTACGGTACTGAAAAAACTTTATTTATATCCTTAAATAATTAAAGAGTACTAAACTACATCGTAAAGACAATATTGAAGACTTTTCTGGAAGAAATGGATGCTTTTTAAATTCAATCCATTGTATTGCTTGACGCCATTTTTCTGGAATAAAAATCCAAATTTTCGGGAAATGTTCCCTTATCAATGAAAAACTGCAGGTCACGAAAGGTAGCAAATGAATCCATTGTGGGATCAGTACTGCTGGAGTGCATAGTTAAGTACAGAGTAAATCAAATATTTAAACAAATGTAAATATATACGCTGTGTGACGTATATTTGCGCATGCTCAGAGCAGTCAAAGTAACTATCACAAGGCGATTGAACTTTATGTATTTCAGTTTTTTTATTTTTAGAAAATGCAATATTGATGAAAATACAAAGATATACAAAAAGAAACCCATGCCTCTAAAAAATACAAAAGAATAAAAAAGTAAGAAAAAGGAAATATTGCCACCGGAAGTTATTCTGTTGGCGCACGCGCAAATGAGCTGATGGTACGGATCGTGCTTCCGGTACGGATCGGGTAATGACAAGCCTACTCCAGCTCATTCATTCGAGAATCTCTTTTCCCTTCTGTGTAGCAACAAAGCCACTTAAAGCACATTACTGCCACCTAAAGGGCTGGAGTGAGAATAAATGCGTTTTACTCCCGTTTAGTTAATAGGACTAAAAAAACTTCTCTGCTATTTAATAACTACGATTTTTAAAATTGTGATTATATTCCCATGTGACAAAGTGTCCAGGCTAATGTGAATCAATTATTTTTACCAAATAGTTTAGCAATTGTCCATTAATTCTTTGGCTTTTGTTACTTATGGCTTTGCAATAAAGAAACACTTTAGCATGAATTCTTTTGGCTATTTTGTTTGCCTTTGTTTGCATGGTGCATCCATTAGAACATTGATCCATAATTCATGGGACACAGGAAAGTGATGAATGTTGCAGTTCTATACAGTGAGCGGTATTAATAATGCCTCCTCCATGGTCAGTGAAGTGTGTCAAAGTGGGAGAGAGTGAATTGTGCCCCTCATCTTAAAGTGATCATTTATTATGTAGAAAGGAGAATAGCACAGGGGTTTTCTCAAAGTATGTCGAGTACAGGAAACTGGTTGCAAAGATTTTTTTCCCCCCTCTTCTTGCACTTTTTACCTAAATCCGCCAGAACTGAAGCGCACAACATGACATTGAACTGCATCGTGTTCTTGACGCCTTCGAAAACAGGTTTCAATATCAGAGGAAGCAAGCAAATGAGTTGCGGTGTTCCAAATCCTTGTTTCAGTGTTGAAGGGAGCAGGCAGAACAGAGACAGAAAAGCAGACAGACAGACAGAGAGTGCATTAATAAAACATGACTGGATGATTTTCCAACCTCAAAGAGGCAGAAGACAGGAAGCCGCATTCCCAGAGCAGTAGCTGAGGTTCAGAGCAGGGTAAAGGGAACAGTAATCTCTAACTAGCTCAACGCTGCTGCTCACTTGTTTAAGCTTTGGGGCACAGCAGAGTCCTCTGATCACACGTGTACCAATTCGTTTCCTTCCATGTGCCTGTCTTGGTCTTATTTCCTTCTAATTATTCCCCTTCTGTTTCTTTGTGCTGCAGGGTGAAGCAACCTGAATTTTCTCTGCAGTTTTTGCAGGAGGTGATGACGGCATTTCAAATGTCTGCTGGACTGTGTGAAGCAAATCAAACCTTTTTACCATCACCTCCTCTTGCGATGAACAAGGCTGGCAGCACATCCTGGCAAGGAACCATTTCACACGTGCCAAAGCTGCAGCTCCAAAGTGCACAGGAAGACAAAGAGTGGCAATCAAACATGTGGAGCACATTTATCTGTCTTCATCTCCTTTTTTTCCTCATTTAAAGCACAAATAATCTGATAGCTGTCGGGGAACTACAAGACAAGTTAGAGCAGGTTTGTAGAAATCAGAATATGATTTAATCAGACCTGCACACATTTACAAATATGTATTCTGAAAATAGTTTCCAAAGACCGGCAGGAGATTCTGTGGTTTGCACTCGTGACGATGTACAGCAGCAACAAAAAGGTTAAGACAACTGAAAACTAACTTACATGAATCATATTTTCTATGTTTTTAATTTCTAATGAACATTAAGAGCTGCTTATCAAACAAAGCTACTATAGGTCCCACAGGGAACATTCAACGCTGTCGGTGAGTTTGTGCTAAGAGGAAACCATCGACCGTTGACTGTACCTTGAGAGACACCTCAGTACAGCTGATGCCTTAAAAACCATCACAGCTCAAAGAACCAGAGACGCTCAACATTTAAGGCTGCAATAAACATTCATTGCTGTCGGTGGGTTTGCACAAAAATAACTCACTGATCAATGAATGCAGACTGCGGTTCAAATACCCCCGTTGATGATGCATCTCCAGAGGATAAAGTGGGAAACAAAACAAATCCAGTTTCAAGAGCATATAGGCTTTATAGGCAGACATATCAGAGGAGGACTGAATCAGTAGCGGCAGAGCTCAGCTGTTTAGTTTAATCACACAGGCCTAAACATCAGAGTAGAGAAGCAGCTGTGAACACAATGTTCTGTAAAGATTGTTAAGTGGAGCATGAGTGGAAAGTTTCTGTGTAAAGAATCAGCTTTCAGTCATTTCATGTTATCTAGTCAAACATCATGTATTTTATTATTAATTTCCTTTTTTGTTAAATTCATAATTTCATACATGAATTTCAAAGTAAACTTGAGATTAAAAGGTCTTATCTAAATGGGAAACATGCATTTGGAGGAAGAAATGGATTGAAATCTATATGTGCCTGCAGAAGCAAATAAAATTAATGTTCGTACATTTGTTTTCTTTTTAGATGAACAAATATGTTAACATAATTAATATGATTTTATAATAAAATCTTTATCAAAGCAATAAATGTCTTGTTTGGGTTTCTATTAATATATATACCTCAATACAGAAGACAGGGAGTCACAGTCTGCAATCTCAACTGTGGAGGGGTTAGAAAACTGTATGGGAATCTTAGAGATTGGGCAATATAATTCCAAAGATACGGTTATGTATAGGGCTGCAACTAACGATTATTTTAAAAATCGATGAATTGGCCAATTATTTTTTCGATTAATCGATGAATCGGACAAAAAATATGTTTTATATTAACCTCTTTATTCCAAAATAAACATTTTAGACAGAACAAACAAGCACACGAGTACAGGTTGCTCATTAACTGTACTGGTGCAACATGAAAAATAAATGTTTGTGTTAAAACTACACAAACTTACATGAGAAATGTAGCTGTACATCCACAAAATATAGGGTACTTTGTTTCATAAAGTGCAAAAAAAGACAGGCATTTTTGTTTTTAAAAGCCCCTAAGGGGTTCAAACAATAGGTCCCCCATTTCAACAAATTAGTTGTTTTTTTTACTAGAAGAATTCTGCCTTTTAAGACAGGAAAGTATAGCAGTTAAAGTTGCTAATTGAGAAAATACTTAACCATAGAGATAAAAATAGCCCTGTGATTCAAATTATAAATTGTATTTGGAATAAAAATGAGAGAACTAGGGGTGCTAAAAAACACATCCTCCAAAGACAGATATTTACATGGGAATGTGGCATATAATTAATTGACATATTACTGATCTTGCTGGATTTTATTCTGCTTTACTTCCATAAATTGCAGGATCTTCTTTACTTTATCTTTGCCAGAAGATTTAAACTTTAAAATCCTTGCCCTCATAATTTGCAAGTTAATTTATTTATAAAGAAAATATAAACGCTGCTTAAGCTAATTCAAATGAAATTAAAAGTAAAATAAGTAGCCAACCTTATCACTGTCGTAACCTATTAACAAGGTAAGGAAAGCATCAGATGAGCTACCTGAGAAACTAACGTTACGTTTCCCCACTTTAAAACGAAGCAAACATGGCCGCTCACCCTACTGATCAGCTCTCTTCACTGCCATCGAAGGCTCCAACGTGTTTCCTTTTCAGGTGCTGCATCATAACAGTGGTGCTTCCATGCCATGTTAATTTGTTTTTACAAAAGTTGCATGTTACGACTTTTTTCGCTTTACAAAGCGCAGGCTGTCTGCGAATTGAGACGCAGCTTAGGTTTGCGGTATTGGTCATTAGAACAGTTGACGTTACTGCCTTTTGAAAACAGCCTTTGGTCACCTGTGGCGCTGGCTCGCTCTGCCGTACTTTTTTTTTCTTCCCGCGTTTCAATCAAGTGGCAGTGATGACGACGGCGGCGGATGACGCATTAATCGCGCGACACAACTAATCGATGATGAAATTCGTTGCCAACGCTTTTAAAAGTCGATTTTTATCGATTTTATCAATTCGTTGTTGCAGCCCTAGTTATGTATTTAACAATTGCACGCAGGAGAAGAACTATGTATGACGATACAAAAAAAATAAATAAATAAAACTCCAGGAACTTGTAGTAAATATTTATTCCAGCAAGTTCTTCTCAAACAGATGTGAGAAATGTTGTAGATGGTTTAAACCTTGAGCTTATTTAAAGGTGTTACCTTTTAAATTCATGGTGCGCTTACATTGGAATCCAGTCCAAGCTTAAAGAGTAACTAATTATATTAATTATTACATTCTGCATCATTTCTGACAATCATTGTGATAATAACCAAATCCTTTTACATTACAGTTTACTTTATCTATTCAAATTAGAAAAGCTGATCAGCCAAGAAACAGCATAAAAAGTGTTTGTTCAGAGCATGCAGCTGGGATTATATATCAAAGTTTTGGCTGAGTGATAATCATTAGCATTGGTTCTAAGAGGTAAACAGCGTTTACCTCTTAAGAGTTTCCCTCTTCACCTCAGATGGTCAAGTTACATCACAGAAATCATAACACAAGTCATATATAGCTGCAAAAGCATTTGATTGATCCTTTAAAGAAGCAAACAAATCATGGTAATTATACAATATCATTTTTGTCTCCCCAATCTTTAACAGAGTTTTACCTTGGAAAAATGTTCCAACTAAATGCTAAAATAGTTGTGTTTTTTTCATTAAAATAGTCCCAGAGCTGTGAAGGTGGCAGGACTTGCTATCCTGCAAGAAGCATCCATAACTTTCCTACTTCTTACAGTATCTAACTATAGATATAGCCCAAGTGCTTCAGTCTCTTACAGGCAGGTTGACAGTTAGGCTGCGCATAGAAGTAAACAAAAAAAACGTCAGTATTGCAAAAACGCATAGATATGGTAATACATTTTATTCAAAAGGATCTTAAAGTGTCCTTGAGTTTCCTGAAGAGTTAAAGGCCAAGATACAATGAATCAAACATTTAAGATAAGACAGAAAATTACTGATGAAAAAAAAGTTTACACCAGAGGGACCTTATCTAAGGGATGCTGATCTGAGTGAGTGAATTGGGATGGAGAAACGTTGAAGGTCAGATAAATATGTAGGGGTGAGACTGAAGCACCCGATCCAGCGGTCATTCAATTTGTGTTCCATTTCCATATTACACCTCTTCTTCCCAAGCCGTTCATGACAAAGCTATGCGAGGTAATGTTTGAGGCTTCTTTGATAGAATAGGGAATTCTGCTGTCATTTGGATGTCTGCTTGGTCTGAGGCAATAAAGATCAGTAAAAGAGTCGATTAACAGGTCTTCTTTATATAGGCCGCCTTTGAATCTGAATCCAATTCTGTAAGAGCTCCCCTCCTTGAACTGCCACCATAAGGCGTCGGAGGGGTTTCAGCGCCCAGAGGCTGACAGGTCAGACAAAGAGTGGTCCAAAAAGTCCCCAGGATGACAAAGACATCTAGGCATATGCCGTTCCCCAGTACGGCTGAGCTGGGACCCCATCCTGGAGCCAAGGCTGGGCAGGGGGTTTATCAGGGAGTATTTGGTGGTTGGGTTCTTCTTCGTGGGACCTCACCAGGCCCACCTCGAAAATGTGACAACGCCATCCCTCAGTGGGCCCACCACCTCCTTGGGTATTCATTATGGGTGGAGCTACAATGGCCAGAAATGGTCATGCTTGCTTCTACACATAGCCTGGCCTCTTCAACATCACTCTTTGAAAGCGGTTGGACTCTAAGTCATGGGTTGTCCATAATGAACACCATGTTCAACCATATTCTGTGCAGTGTGCATCAGGACATCCTAGGCCAGAGGTTGATGATGGACTTTGTAGTCATATCTTCTTACCTTCAGTTGCATGTATTGGACACTTGGGTGAAGGGAGGGGCAGAACTGTCCACCCATCACAGACTGGTGCGGAGCTGGATACGCTGGAAGAGGAGGAAGCCGAACAGACTTGGCAGGTTAAATAAGTAGTGAGAGTCTGCTGGGAACATCTGGTGGAGCCCTCGGCCAGGGACATGTTAAACTCCCACCTCTGGGAGAGCTTCTCCCAGATTCCACGGGAGGTTTGGTGGGCCGTGTTTTCTGCCTCCATTCACATCCCCATTGCAGGCAGTAAGCACTTATAGTGAGGTCAAATGTGCCGGAGTTCCTGAGAGTTCATGGAGAAAGACTATTGGTTTGCCTCAAAGCAATTCGGGAAACCCGTTCAGCGCCTCTGAAGGGGAAAGAAGAGCTTTGCTAACACTTTTCAGTTGGAGTAGAGCTGCTGACCCTGAAAAAAGGCAGCATTGGGCAGTCAAAGGATCTCCTAAAGCCGGCTGACATGCCTTCCGTGGTGGAAGAAGAGACTACGTGCATTCATCACCCATGCTGAAGTCACTGAGGTGGTCAAAAAAACTCCCTGGTGGTAAGACTTCACGGGTGGATGACATACGGCCTAAGTACCTTAGAGCTCTGAATATTGTCAGGCTGCCATGGCTGACATGCCTCTTTAACATTGCTTGGAGGTCAGGGACAGTGCCACTGGATTAGCAGACTTTGTGGTGATTCATAACCTGTATGGAGAGGATTTTGAAGCACAGTCAAGATCCCGAGGGGTTCTGGTTCATGGACCAGCTGATCTCATCCCTGCTTTTTGCGGATGAGGTGGTTCTGCGATTTACCTCCTACAAAGACCTACAGCATGCCCTGGCGCGGTTCGCAGAAGATTCTGACGCGGCTGTGATGAGAATCTGCTCCTCTAAGTCCGAGGCCATGGCCCTCAACAGAAAAAGGTTGCTTGCCCCCTTCAGAAATAGAGCTCCTGCCTCAAGTGGAGTTTCAACTATTGATCTCCTGGTCCATTCTCCTCTCACTCGTGAACAGGATCCCAAGATATTTAATCGGTGTGGCTGCTGCTATAATGCAGATGCTGCACTGGTCTGTTGTGGTGGTCTTTCTCCTTTTTTTCCCTCAACTATGGTCATGAAATCTGGATCACGACCAGATTTCAGAACAAGAAGGATGTCTCAGACACGTCAAGCTAAAATGAACTTTCTCCTCAAGGTGCATGGGCACTCCCTTAGAAATAGGGAGGGGAACTCAGTCATTTATGAGAGGCTCGTTTTGGAGACGCTTCTCCTCCAAATCATGAGGAGCCTGCTAACGGGACTCTGACATCTTTTTCTGATGCTCCCCAGATGCCTCCATTGGGACGTGATCCAGGCACATACCCATTGCAGGAGACCCAAGAGACGCCCCAGGACACGATGGAGGGACTATATCTCACAGCTGGCCTGGGAGTGCCTGAAGCCTTTTTTTTTATATGGATTTTTGATTTATAAAAAAAAAAAAAAAAAGAAATGAAAGCATTTTGTAAACAAACTAAACTGAATTTCGAAGTTTTATGCAGAGCATTGGAATATTTAAATGTTTTTCACTTCCTGAATTTTTATTTCCATGCATCAAAGCCATTCTTTAGAATGAAGCAACACTTAGTTGCATTGGATCTACATCATCAAAAACAATTCCCTAAAGTTACTTCTGTATTTTGAAAACTACATTTCAAGAAAAGTAATGTTTGATTTTTTTGTGTCT